TTGCAAAAGTGACGAACAGCGACTGGCGTAAGGCACTTTCTGAGTATGTATACGTTTACAATACTACTCCACATTCCGTCACTGAAAAGGCTCCACTTGAGCTTCTAATGGGGAGACCAGCAAAAGACCTGCTGCCTAGCCTTAGTGCTGAGGCGGATTTGCGTTACGAAGGAATTCGAGAGAACGATGCAATAAAAAAGATGGCTGGTAAGATATACGCGGACAAACGGAGACACGCGAAGCAGTCCGATATTACAGTCGGAGATTCGGTGATGATCAGAAATTATGAGAGTGGAAAACTAGAACCTAATTTTCGACCTGAGCGTTTCAAAGTGATTGAAAAGACAGGAAGCGACACTATTGTTTCAAACGAGGAGGGTGTGAAATATCGTCGACCAGTCGCACACCTAAGAAAGTGGCCTATTCAAAGAAATACATCTACGGATTCATCTACAAGACCCCAGGATTCTTCAAAAGATACCGATCAACGATTGAAACCTGACTCGTCTTCTCAGATTGCAGGAGCTAAACGTATGTCAAGAGAGCATCACGCAACAGGATCAGACCGTCCCATAAGGACCAAGAAAACCCCCAAGCATTACAGTCCGTAAATTGATTTGTTGTTGCTTTGTAAGGATTATTTGGATAATAAAAGTTATGATCCGTTCAATTTGTCTGATACACTTATACATATTTTTGAGTATGGGGAGGAGAAAGGATGTAGAGTTATGATGTACGATATGAACCCATAGATACAACCCTGATAAGTATGAATGTATTAATGTTGCCTTACCAAGTACAAGACTGGTGAGTATTAGAAACCGAGCATCAGTGAGGGGGATTGATATACAGATAGTCGTGAAGAGTGGACGTACTGCGGATTTGGTCGGTGAAATAAAACCCCTGAAGAGGACTTTACAATTGGCGCAGTCGGTACGATTTTAAAATGGTAGGTACCTAGATTGTGTTTAAAGTTGCGAAAAGATTTTTTTAATGCAAATTAAGTTGTGAAAGAAAAAAAACAAAAAAAAATTAGTAAATTTGAAGTGTCCATAATTGCTGTTCATTGGAATGAATGCGAAGGATTTGTTTCAAGCTAGGCCAGCAGATGCTGAAGAGCAAGCGAGACCGAAGTGACGTTCGAAGCGCTAGAAATGGTTGAAGAGTGAAAGATGGAAATACTAGTCCAACCGTTGGTTGTAGAGTAATGTGCCCGGTTACGGAAAAAAACGGAGGACGTACATGACTAGGCCAGCAAGTTGCTGTAGAGCAAGGGAAAGGTAATGGAAAAAAAAGCGAGTCCGGTACATTACCGTAGCGCATACGTACACAAACACATTCAGCTAGACCAGCTACGGCTGAAGAGCAGAGCAATAAGACGAAGAAAAATGAGTTTGGTTGCAACGTGTAATTGATGCCGAAGCACATACATAACCAAACTCAATATTGCTAGCAGTAAACAGAGGGAGAGGAGAATGAAATGGTGAACGGTTAAGTGATTTTCGTTTACATATACATCGATACTAGCGGAAGAGGGAAAGCGAAAAGATGTAGGATATGAAAGTAAGTTTTTTTGTGTGTCTGATCGATGGTGTATGTCGTCGTGTAATGAAGTGGAGAAGAAGTTTCGGTTGGAATATATTACCCTACACATACTGACATTAGTACATGCTGAAGAATAAAGCAGAATCGACTGCTACCCGTGTGCTTCCACGTTAACCATTATGTAGCTTTGGTAATCGAAGTTATAATAACAATAACCGAAGTGATACTCTTGTAAAAAAAAAAAAAAAAACGAAGAATCCAATCAGGAAGTGAGAATCAAAATGCAGGTAACAAATTGATCGAAATTTGCTTAGCAGGAAGTGAATCTTTTGCCTTTTTTTAAGAACTAAGCAGTTTATGTTTATGGTTTTGTTTTATGGTGAATGAGTTTTGTGAGAAAAAGGAAAAACCGTTAATTGCAATGTTACATGCATAATTTACTTTACAAGTGAAGTGACTCCAATGTATGAATTTCCCGTTACAGATGAGTCTCAGAGATAAATCAAAATGGCCACTTGAGCCGTTCAATGCTGAAGCTGATACGCAGGACTTGCGCAGAGAGTGGGAAGAATGGCATCGTGCTTTCGAACTGCTTCTGGAATGGAGAGATGTTGAGAAACAACACGATAAGCTGGTGCTACTCTTGACTGTTGGCGGACGTGGATTGCAGCGTATATATTACAATCTTGGTCCAGCCCCGGAGGAAATCTATCCTGCACCAGTGAAAGTACCGTATTGTCCTAACGAGGTTCCTGAATATGACAATGCGATTAAGCGGCTTCAGAAGTTTTTTGTCGGGAAGCGAAATGACCGCATCGAATTGGAAGTGTTCCGTTCCCTTAAGCAAGCCAATGACGAATCGTTCAACAACTTTCTTCTTCGACTTCGAGCGCAAGCCACACGTTGTGAGTTTAAGGATCGAGAGGGAAAAGAGATCCTCCAGCAAGTTACGATGGGTGCCCGTGATGAGCGTGTACGGGACAAGGGTCTGGAAGATGTAATGGATCTCGATGAAATAACAAGCTACGCTATCAACCGCGAGATCCTCATGAAACAGAAGGAGAAGTCAAAGCCTTTCAATGGTGAATTTGTTTCTGGTTCCGTAGCGGCTGTTGGACAGGAATGGTCAGGAAAACCTCGAATGAAGAAAACCACTGGAAGATCCTTCAAATTTGAATTCAACCGTGGAAAAAAACAGGAACGCAATCATTCAGAATGCAACCGGTGTGGAGCTTATCAACATTCCTCTGATTCACGGAACTGCCCGGCGCAGAAAGCACGATGTAACCGATGTGGTCGAATTGGTCATTTTGCTCGAAAGTGTCGAAAGCTGCCACAAGTATCGACGCGGACCCACACTTGGAAACGACCGTTTGATGAAACCAATTCCTTGCGCGAGGAAGATAACTGGACAGAAGAGCTTCAATGCCCACCGAAATCAGAAAATACTTCGCGGGTATAGTTTGAGTTATATCGTTACGTTTTCAATTAAAAATACTTTTGTTATGTATATTAAATGTTGATATTGAAATCGAAAAAAAAAAAAATAAATAAATTAATGTTCCTTTTAATATTGTTTGGATAGGAGTCTGAAGGACGATGATCTGATGGCTTAGTCAAGTGTCTAATTGATCAGTATCCCGTGGTCATCCAGGAATTGTCTCCATGCGCCGCAACCTTCGAGAAAGAGTGTGGTGGCCATGTATGGACCGCGATATAAGTGAAAGGGTGCAGGAATGTTTGGGATGCACAGCTGTTAGCAGACAGTCTCCGCCGGAACCGATGCTTCGAAAAGAAATGCCTCAGAGAGCATGGCAGGAAATCGCGATCGATTTCTTCTCAGCAAAGGATTGTGCAACTTTTTTGGTAGTTGTGGACTATTTTAGTCGATATTTGAAGGTAATTGAGATGAAGAGCACCACGGCCACAAAAACGATCGATGTACTCGAAGCGATATTTTATGATCAGACCTACCCTGAGACAATACGCTGCGATAACGGTCCTCCTTTCTCCAGCGAACAGTTCTCAGTATACTGCCAAAATAAAAATATTCTATTAGTAAGAACGATTCCATACTGGCCTCAGATGAATGGCCTGGTGGAAAGACAAAACCAAGGAATTCTAAGAGCTCTGCGTATTGCAAAAGTGACGAACAGCGACTGGCGTAAGGCACTTTCTGAGTATGTATACGTTTACAATACTACTCCACATTCCGTCACTGAAAAGGCTCCACTTGAGCTTCTAATGGGGAGACCAGCAAAAGACCTGCTGCCTAGCCTTAGTGCTGAGGCGGATTTGCGTTACGAAGGAATTCGAGAGAACGATGCAATAAAAAAGATGGCTGGTAAGATATACGCGGACAAACGGAGACACGCGAAGCAGTCCGATATTACAGTCGGAGATTCGGTGATGATCAGAAATTATGAGAGTGGAAAACTAGAACCTAATTTTCGACCTGAGCGTTTCAAAGTGATTGAAAAGACAGGAAGCGACACTATTGTTTCAAACGAGGAGGGTGTGAAATATCGTCGACCAGTCGCACACCTAAGAAAGTGGCCTATTCAAAGAAATACATCTACGGATTCATCTACAAGACCCCAGGATTCTTCAAAAGATACCGATCAACGATTGAAACCTGACTCGTCTTCTCAGATTGCAGGAGCTAAACGTATGTCAAGAGAGCATCACGCAACAGGATCAGACCGTCCCATAAGGACCAAGAAAACCCCCAAGCATTACAGTCCGTAAATTGATTTGTTGTTGCTTTGTAAGGATTATTTGGATAATAAAAGTTATGATCCGTTCAATTTGTCTGATACACTTATACATATTTTTGAGTATGGGGAGGAGAAAGGATGTAGAGTTATGATGTACGATATGAACCCATAGATACAACCCTGATAAGTATGAATGTATTAATGTTGCCTTACCAAGTACAAGACTGGTGAGTATTAGAAACCGAGCATCAGTGAGGGGGATTGATATACAGATAGTCGTGAAGAGTGGACGTACTGCGGATTTGGTCGGTGAAATAAAACCCCTGAAGAGGACTTTACAAGCACCAATGCTACCGACGCCAGGGAGGCAGATCCCACACCTGGACCCTACCTATCGACCCATAAACTCATGAACCGCCTGAAAAAATAACAACAAAAATACATTAAAAACAATGTAACAATAAGAGTACAAGATACTCATTTAATAGGTACCTTCGAGTTAGCGTGTAATGTTCAGCTTGATTTAACAGTTTCGCCCTTTGGAAATGTTGGTACTGAATCTGTCAAAAATGCCTTCGGCAACACTGCTCGCTTCTGTCAAAGTCAAAATGCGTTGCCCCACCTCCCACTTTCTCTTCCAAAACTCGGGTGACCTTCACTGTAGCGCACGTATGTATTTACTCCTTCCGTCATTCATATTCCAGAAACAAAAACAACAACAGACGGCTGCTACGCACGCACAAGCGACAGCTTATCGTAATTCCATCTCTGTCCTGCTGACTGGATTGTTCGAGACGACCTAACGTCGTTCCTGTTCATTCATAACGGGAAACGAGAGCTGGAGGAGAGGCTTGTTTTTCCATTAAAGTTGGCCTATCCCTATCCCGCATTTGCTGTCACGTCTTTTTTTACTGCGAGGAAACGAGTGTTTTTCTGCTCTTCGTGTATTAACGTCCCACCCGCCTCACACCGAACAGCAACATTATTCCCCTCTGCTACCACACGAGGAAACAAAGAAACGCAATTTTTCTCATCGCTGCCCTACATCAAAATTTTCTTCGGGATTTTTCGTTCCCATCGTAACAATTTGCCTAAAGTACAAAATTGTAGCTAAATTATTTTAATTATAAGGAGTAAAATCGACGCGATAGCTGGAAATTTTGACTGAACAATTTAAGGTGAGCGAGAGGTTTCCGAATATTATAAGACACGCGTGTGTGTAAAAAGCAGAAAAACAAGCCAGAATCATGGAGGTTATCAACGAAAATCAAAAAGGGGAAAACACGCCTGCTAAAGCAACCGAAGAACGCGGCCAGCCCACTGCAGAACGCACCGATCTGTCCGGCATCGAAACCTCCGAAAAGGATGAAAGTAAGTAGGAGCATACTTTTGCCTATTTTTATGCTTAATGTGGGCTAGTATTTTGATGTACTATGACCAAATACAGGTGGTTTTAAACTTCGCCATAATTTAAATTTTTTACCCACAACACGCAGGATTTACATATAGTTCTTATGTTTGTTGCAGAGTTGGTAGCTAATCTGCGCCAGCAGATTCCGAACATCGATAACATCTTCAGCATCCACAGGAAAATTGGTCACGGCACATTTAGCTCGGTGTTTCTGGGTACGCTGAAGTGTCACGAGCGATTGCCAGCGGAAAAACGTAAGCTCTTTGCCATCAAACACCTGGTCCCCACTAGTCACCCGAGTCGCATCGAACGGGAACTACGTTGTATGATGCAGATCGGTGGAGCTTGCAATGTAGTCGGTGTTGATTTGTGCCTCCGACGTCAGGAATCGGTGGCATTTGTGATGCCGTTTATTGCTCATGACCAGTTTCATGTGTACTATGACAAAATGAGTCCGGCAGAGACTCAGGTTTACTTGAAAAATCTGTTGATCGCCTTGAAACGGGTTCATGAATTTAATGTTATCCATCGGGATGTTAAACCAAGCAACTTCCTGTACAATCGTAAGCAGCAGACATTTCTGCTGGTGGATTTCGGTTTGGCACAGGAAATAAGCAATAGCCGGGTTACTCGGGAAGTTGGAGCCGGGGCAACAGAGGATAAGACTGGGAAAAGACGCCTTTCGGGTGTTACGGCTGAAGAAGAAAATAAGCGCAGTTCTGATGCTATAGTGCAGCAACAGAAGAAGGTAAAACTACACGATGACAACATGGAAAATAGTACAACTCATACCGGCGGTGCCGAACAGGAGGAAACCGCCTCACAGCAGGCACAGCCGGTGTTCAAAACACCACTGAAACAATCTAATCAAATCATCTCCCCGATGAAACTCTCGAATATCACGAAAGATCTGTACAGTTCACCGTTGGTGCGCCAAATCAAGTCAACTGTGCTGGGCATTAGCAGCAACATGAAGGCAGCACAGCGTCAACAGCAAAGCAGAACTAGTAATCTATCTGCGGTTGCACCAATCCCTCCGAAAACGGCCAACGGTGGCTCAAGGACTCAACAATACAATACATCTTCATCGGTTAGTTCTGCAGCCAAACTGGATGCTTTATGCAAGTGCTTTGGAAAAAGCCAGGTTTGTAACATCTGTTTGGTGAAGAAAGAGATGCAAGCATCACGCGCTGGAACTCCAGGCTACCGTCCGCCAGAGGTCCTATTGAAGTATCCCGACCAAACCACCGTTGTTGACATTTGGGCCGCTGGTGTGATGTTTATAAGCATTCTATCGCGGTGCTATCCTTTCTTCCAGAACTCGGACGATTTTCACTCTCTAGCCGAGATTGTCACAATTTTCGGAGATCAGCGCATCAAAAAGACTGCTAACATACTGGGACGTCATGTTAAGACTGCCCAACGGAAGCAACCGTTGGATCTGCGGAAACTCTGCTTGCGTCTGCGTTTCCGCTTTCGACGTCTCCGTGCTCGCCAACAACAACAGCAGCAAATGCATGAGGAAGAAGCTGCCACCACCTTTGCCAACAGCTGTGACAACTGTCAGCAGCGTTTGGCTGAGTGTCTCTGCGAGCATTCCGAAGCCAATAGGGATTTTTCGGAAGATGAGTACTCCGACAGTGCCTACGAGCTGCTGTACAAACTGTTGGAAATCAATCCGCACAACCGTATCTCTGCTGAAGAAGCCCTAAAGCACCCATTCTTCCAGGAAACCTTCTAAAAGGCTCGAGAGTGGAAGAGACAAAAAAAAGTATTAAATTTTATAAAAAAGCGATCTCCGAAAGAAGCGAGAACAACAAATGCCAACATTCTTTGCGAATAAATTCTAATTTAGAGGAAACAAAAAAAAATTAATGTCGTAGGTCAAATTAGTAGAACAGAATGTTTCTTATAAAGATCTTAGAACAATGCACTTGTTCTTGTAGAATGAGACTAAATTCAATGTGGGTGTGTAATTTGTTTAATTTATTTAAATTGATTCTAAACTATTTATTATAAAAAAAAGGCAACCTGAATGTGTACTCTGTGAAGAAGAAAACAAAATGCGTCAAACTTTTATAAAATTGAGATGGCGAGGACTGAAAATTAACAACGCTCTAGGAATATAACCTGACGCGGAAGAAATTAGCTTCTAAGCTAAATTTAACACAAGAGGCAATAAATGTAACGAACAGAAAAATAAGTGAACTTTTCATCGACGCAGGAAAGAACTCGAAATACCCTTTCTAACATGGAATCGGTTATCCGACGATACATACTTTCTCAATAAATAATAGCCAATCAAGTTTTTCTTGTCTGTTTTGTCCCACAACTGATGCTTTCCGTCTTTCGTCAACTTTAAGTTTTCTTATCGTTCGGAATTTTGCAGAAAAGAGGATCCATTTTCCAACTCGAACTTTAAATACCTCCCACTGGGCATTTCATAATAGATAAACAAAACAAATCTACTAATGACCACACCGGGCGTATTGAAACAGGGATGATAAGTAACGAGTTTTCAAATTTGGCGACCCGCTAAAACTCTGTTCTGAGAGGCAATTTTGATTGCGATACTACTCTTTACTTTCTCGAGAATGAAAAAAAAGAGAAATTGCTTTACAGCTAATCGAGTCCATGGCAAAATCTACGTCATCCTATTAGATGAAGTTGTCCGTGGATCTGTCTAGGCGAAGTCCTCATGACAGAATTGACCGGTAATATAAAAAAAAACCAAGTAACAAAATTCTTCTGATGTACATGGAATAAACATTTAAGACGTCGCCGCTTGAAACCAGTTACATGTGTCCAACCTCAGATAGTCAGTAAAGGCACAGTAATACGGTAATACCAAGCCTGAGGCGGCGGGTTCGATTCCAGGTCCGGTTTAGAAAATCTTTCGGGTTGAAAATTATCTCGACTTCCCTTGGTATAGAGCTTGATCCACAATATACAAATTCATGCATTGGTTGGTTGATGAGGTCCCTTCTGGGCCCACACTATCTTTTCAGAGATAAACCAGCCAACGACTGAAAGTCTCTATAATAAATAAATCAATCAATCAGCGTTGGTTGGCAGAGAAAACTCTCAATTAATATCATCTATCCAGTACTCTGCGTTGGATCCGTTGATAAAAGGTTTCCACTGTGCTTTTAATGTGTAACTTTGAATCATGTAAGCTGAACTTGGTGCACGTGGTCCGAGATGCTGGAATCTCCCCGATCGAAGATCTCGTTCAGGTGCATAGATTTCGAATTCAGCCAAAATTCCAGGAGTCTCAAATTATTTCGCCTACGTTTGAGAGTTTTAAAGTCGGTTCTTCGAAAATCCGGAACAAGAACAAGAATCCGGAAGAAGAGAACAGGTACCTACCTATAGATTGAAAAAAGCTTCAAACGCTGGGTGCTGGGCGTCGAGATTTATCAAACGCTCGGAGGCTATGGAGACGGTGCGTGCAATCCAATACGGCCGGCGGCTTCATTCACCAGTACAACAAGAGAATGTCAAAGAAATTTTGAGAGGAATTCTGAGGTGAATTTTTGGAGGTACTTTGGGAATGGGATGAAATTCCATCTCCGAATCAAGGGTATTTTCAGAAAAAATGTTGAGGATGATTCAAAGATAATTGTGATGAGAATTCCACAACAACTTACAATATATTTATGGAAATAAATTTGGTGAAATGTCGCGATAATTATTGAGAATATCTGATAACTGTGGGCTACAAAATGGTGAGTTGACAACCTGGAAGGAGCGGAATACCTAGCCCTGGTCCTCACAAGTTCCTACTTCACGCCTCCTCGAGTCATATGATAACAAAAGACTACCAGCTGAAACATGGACACAGCTGGTTGGCGTAGCCTGGGCAATGTTGCCAGTCCGGCAATAGCAAAGTGAAGAGGTGCGACGCGAACACTGGCGCGGTAACCATAGTACGGTGATAGAGGAAATGCTTCACCAAACCTGAGCGTCTGCTCACCATGGAGGTGCGGCTCAAAACGGCGTCTGTTCTCCATGTTAGGAGCGGCTGATCACCGTCCTAGTGCCAGCGTGGGACTCTAAACAGAGCTGTGCACGATGGTCCCCCGGCGAGACAGGGGGTTGGGGCAGGCCCAACAAGCCGCCCTGGAAAAAAAACAAAGTTGCAAATACCGAAGAAAGAAATACGGATCGGAACAATCGGCACAGACCTACGCGACGAAATAAGGACTACGATTGGAAACTCGGAACATGGAACTGCAAATCGCTCGGCTTCCCGGGTTGCGATAGGTTAATCTATGACGAACTTCAACCACGCAACTTCGAAGTCGTAGCACTGCAGGAACTTTGCTGGACGGGACAAAAGGTATGGAAAAGCGGGCATCGAGCGGCTACTTTCTACCAGAGCTGTGGCACCACCAACGAGCTGGGAACCGGCTTTGTAGTGCTGGGTAAGATGCGCCAACGCGTGATTGGTTGGCAGCCGATCAACGCGAGGATGTGCAAGTTGAGGATTAAGGGCCGTTTCTTCAACTACAGCATCATCAACGTGCACTGCCCACACGAAGGGAGACCCGACGACGAGAAAGAAGCGTTCTATGCGCAGCTGGAGCAGGTGTACGACGGCTGTTCGCAACGGGACGTCAAAATCGTCATCGGCGACATGAACGCTCAGGTAGGACGGGAGGCAATGTATAGACCGGCAATCGGGCCAAACAGCCTGCATGCCGTATCGAACGACAACGGCCAACGATGCGTGAACTTTGCAGCCTCCCGGGGTATGGTAGTTCGAAGTACCTTTTTCCCCCGCAAGGATATCCACAAAGCCACCTGGAGATCACCTGACCAACACACAGAAAACCAAATCGATCACGTTCTAATCGACGGGAAATTCTTCTCCGACATTATCAACGTCCGCACGTACCGCAGTGCGAACATAGATTCGGACCACTACCTAGTTGCAGTATGCATGCGCTCAAAACTCTCGACGGTGCATAACACACGTCAAAGTCGAACGCCACGACCCAACATTGAGCAACTACGGGACACCGGAGTTGCCCAGGACTACGCGCAGCAGCTGGAAGTTGCACTACCCACGGAAGAGCAGCTTGGCGCAGCTTCTCTTGAAGATGGCTGGAGGGACATCCGTTCAGCCATAGGTAGTACTGCTGTAGCGGCACTAGGTACTGCAATCCCGGACCGAAGAAATGACTGGTTTGACGGCGAATGCAAACTGTTAGTAGAGGAGAAGAATGCAGCACGGGCGAGAATGCTGCAACACCGCACGAGATTGAATGTGGAGCGATACAGACAAGCGCGGAACAGACAAAACTCGGTTTTCCGAAGGAAGAAGCGTCAGCAGGAAGATCGAGATCGCGAGGCGATGGAAAATCTGTACCGCGTAAACGACACACGGAAGTTCTACGAGAAGCTAAATAGTTCGCGCAAAGGCTACGTGCCGCAAGCCGATATGTGCAAGGACTTGGACGGTAACCTTCTCACGAACGAGTGTGAGGTGATTGAGAGGTGGAAGCAGTACTATGACGAGCACCTCAACGGTGAAGCAGCAGAAAACGAAGGTGGCACGGCAACAGACCTTGGAGCACGCGCAGAAGACGACAGGCTACCGGCCCCTGATCTTCAAGAAGTTGAGGAGGAGATCGGTCGGCTGAAGAACAACAAAGCAACTGGTGTAGATCAACTACCAAGTGAGCTATTGAAATACGGTGGTGAAGCACTGGCTAGAGCGCTGCACTGGGTAATTGCCAAGATTTGGGAGGAGGAGATATTACCGGAGGAGTGGATGGAAGGTGTCGTATGCCCAATCTACAAAAAGGGCGACAAGTTGGATTGCTGCAACTACCGCGCGATCACACTGCTGAGCGCCGCCTACAAGGTACTCTCCCAAATTCTATGCCGCCGTCTGTCACCATATGCAAGAGAGTTCGTGGGGCAATACCAGGCGGGATTCATGGGTGCCCGCGCTACCACGGACCAAATTTTCGCGATTCGGCAGGTTCTGCAGAAATGCCGCGAATACAACGTGCCCACACATCATTTGTTCATCGATTTCAAATCCGCATACGACACAATCGATCGAGATCAGCTATGGCAGATTATGCACGAGTACGGATTTCCGGATAAACTGACGCGATTGGTCAAGGCGACGATGGATCGAGTGACGTGCGTTGTTCGAGTATCGGGGACACTCTCGAGTCCCTTTGAATCTCGAAGGGGGTTACGGCAGGGTGATGGACTTTCGTGTCTGCTGTTCAACATCGCGTTAGAAGGTGTGATCAGAAGAGCTGGGATAGACACGAGTGGCACGATATTCAGGAAGTCCATCCAGCTCCTTGGTTTCGCCGATGACATTGACATTATGGCACGGAACTTTGAGATGATGGCGGAAACGTACATCAGACTGAAGGCTGAAGCTAGACGGATTGGACTTGCCATCAACGCATCAAAGACAAAATATATGAAAGCAAGAGGTTCTAGGGAAGACAATGTTAGCCTCCCACCCCGAGTTCAGATTGACGGTGACGAAATCGAGGTGGTCGATGAGTTCGTGTATTTGGGCTCACTGGTGACCGCCGAAAATGATACCAGCAGAGAAATTCAAAGACGCATTATGGCAGGGAATCGTGCCTACTTTGGACTCCGGAGGACGCTCCGGTCGAATAAAATTCGCCGCCGCACGAAGTTGACTGTCTACAAGACGCTGATTAGACCGGTGGTCCTTTACGGCCACGAGACCTGGACTATGCTCGTGGAGGACCAACGCGCCCTTGGTGTTTTCGAACGGAAGGTGTTGCGTACCATCTACGGTGGAGTGCAGATGGATGACGGAACGTGGAGGAGGCGAATGAACCACGAATTGCACCAGCTGCTGGGAGAACCATCCATCGTCCACATTGCAAAAATTGGGCGACTACGGTGGGCTGGGCACGTCGTAAGAATGCCGCACGACGACCCAGTGAAAATGGTTCTAGAAAGCGACCCAACAGGAACAAGAAGAAGAGGCGCGCAGCGGGCAAGGTGGATCGACCAAGTAGAAGGCGACCTGCGGACCCTTCGCAGACTACGAGGCTGGCGAACTGTGGCCATGGATCGAGTAGAGTGGAGACGACTTCTTCGGACAGCAGAGGACAACAAGGCCTTAGCCTGATTGGTAAGGTAAGTATCTGATAACTGTGTAGAAAGGTGCTAAGCGATTAATGATGAACCAAAATTTATATTCATGAACTTTTCAGACATTAATTGTTAATCATTGATCTAAATCAATTACTTCATTGTTATGGTGGTTAACGATTAATGATAAATGTCTTGAAATTCATGCTGAATGTTTATGTATAACAATTATTTTTAAACGCGGAAGGAGATTCTCTATCCCTGCAGTGGATATCGGGTAAGTGCATCAGCTCCACACCTCCGTTTTTGGACCTTCACACAACGGAACAGTAAAGATTGCAGGGTTGCATAGTTTGATCTTGCCATTAAGAGGAACCGTACGTTATGGCAAGTCCTGCATTGGTGGTGGCTTCTAATTACATCACATCAACAATTATTTTTTAACGCGTTGAATTGTAGAGGCAATACCTAAAGCAGCGGGTCTCTGGATCTCAGCAATGATATCATTCTAACCCAATTTTGTTCATCATTGTGAATTTTAGTCGAGAATGAATACAAAAGAAACCGAAAGTGCAGCTTGAACAATGTTTTTCGAACAAAGATACAGCTATTAAAAAAAGCAAGTTTAGAAAGTTTGAAAGAATAGTTCAGAAGCTATTGTTGTTTATTTGTTTTCAAGATCTTAGACACATAAATTCATGAAAAAAATAAATAAAAAGAAAGTTTGATAAGTACTCCGGACCTAAAATAAATCAATACCCAAGCAACATTTCTGGATTTATGAGGGTTCTGAAGACAATGATTTAGACTTGTAGAATGCTTTAAAACCTCGATAAAACTAGCAATGTTGCTTGGGTACCGCAGTAAAGGTTCGATTTTGACAACGGACATTTTTTAAACTATTTTGATAATTGCATATCTGATCTGATGATTTTTCCAAGGCTGCACAATCATCCGGAAAGTTTAACACAAATAATCATCCATATTCTCGTTTTCATTCGAACATTTTAAATTAAAATTTAATTAGAATTTCCAATCTTAAAACTGTCGATTCCTTAAAGACAGCAATGTACTCATGGTACAGATATGCCTCCGCTAATAATGGAGTTTCGAAGAAAGACATCTACTCTAATAACCAGCCCATGTTGGGGAAATAATATTCTTGATTATTGAACAATACAATTATAATTAAAATGTGTTCATTACCTTGCAGTAGCAAGTTGCGTTGCGGGTTATCGCCACGTTGCTGACACGACCCGTTACTCCTTACTGTCCCGGCCCCGAGAGCGACTTATCCATGAACTTCTTCTTGGCAAAGCACAGCCACCACTTGCTTGGCTTCCCGTCTTCTCCGGAGAATACCCGTTCGCACACGCGGATGCCAATTTCCTGGCGAAGCTGCTGCAAATACTGTTTCATCAAGTCAGCCTCCGTGGACGAGGATGGCTTAGCGTACACTGCATTCAAGGGAAATCCGGCCTCGCCGGGAATATCGAACTTTGAAATGGCCAAAGTGTACATTTCCTGTAGACCTTGGTTCTTGTTGGAGCACCGCTGCAGGCGTTTCAGACATTCGGTTATGTACAACGTAATGTAGATTAGCACCCGATCGACCTCGGACTTGACTTCATACGTTCGGAAGAAAACGTTCGCCTTGAAATAGTACAACGATTCGTCGATGATGTCCTGCTCAATGCTGGCGTTGGTTGGCGCTGGTCCACGCGCTTGGGTACGCAGTGGAAGGATTGCCATGTTTCCCACCGATTGGCTGTAATCCTTGATTTGGGAATGATAAGCCTAATCCGGATGGAATATAGAAATTATCATCAAATTTTCAGACACACCCTACGTTGACGATGACTAATAGCACTTGATATTATGTACGTACCGGCATTATTGAAGCGCAGTTTTGCGACAGATACTATTTAATTGATCGCGGATAGTGATTCTGTTCAGATTTGAATCTTTTGGGAAATAATTCCGGGACAATTTAGTATCCTGAGCAAAAAACAAATTTTTTACGCCCGCAGCGTACTCCACAGCAACGCGATGTTTTGATTGATCTGATGCAGAGATGATGACCGCGATGATGACAATCAGATCGTCATGACAGCAGATGATTGTTTTTGACAGTTATGGCAGGGCAATGATACACGCTAACTTCTGCTTACTCACCAGGTGAGTCGATCGTACTCACTTTCGTCCGATGTATCGAGTTATCAAAAATTGAGTAAACGAGAAATGTCAAACTGAGTAAAAACCACTCAGTCAGCAAAATCCTGGACTTGGAAAAAATGCCAGTCATGTCGGAGGAAACCTCATAGAAAATGTTACTCAAAACTTGCTGAAATGCCTTCAAGTAAGTACGAATTGCTTAGGGAAACGGTGTTGGACCGGTTTTTGCTCCGGGAGAATGGATCCGGAGCAGGCAATTTCCATTTCCTTTAATAAAAATCAAAACAAAAACTCTCCCTGCAACTGAAAATACCGGTGAGTGGATTTGACTCAGTCTACGTGAGAACGTAGTTTACTCAAAAGTGAGTCAACATAAGACTACTCAATTTTGAGTAGCCATACTTGCCGCTGAGATGAGTACATTCGACTCAATTTTGAGTTGACCAGAATAAGCTTGTATACAGAGAGAGAAAATCAATCGTGAAATATGGTGACGTCACTAATTGCTTGTATATATAGAGCTTTTTGACGTTTAATCGGCGCACACTACTGCACCATATACACGGTGTTTCGTGAAAACCCATTAATGGGTAAAAAAAAACCATTTTCGAACCAATAACTTTCCGTATCCGTTCCGATTGCGCCCACATCGCGTTTGGGCCTTTACTATCCGCAGCATTTTAGCGAAAATAGGCGATCTCCGGAAAAGGTTAGAATCCGGAAGGTTAGAGCGAGGGTTAGAGAGGCTTACGGATGAGTAAATACAATTTTATCCACCATATTGTCGAGCATATTGTATCATAATATTTCCTGTAATAAAATTTGATCGGAACACCTGCATTTATTTGCAATGTATTAGAAAATTTTTTTATATAACCAAGCGCTTGCATCCTCCTTTTGAAAAAAATGGTATTTTTTCACCCATTTTAATGTAAACACAATTTAAGAAAATGGGTAAAAAAACACCCATTTATTGACAGACCACCCATTTACCCATTAATGAGTAAACCATAGTTTACCAATTAAAGCCTGGTACGCAGCTGAAAAGAAACCGGAAAAGTAATTTTTGAGGAATATTCCCAAAAGTAAATTTGACAGCTATAGCCTGGTACGCAGCTGAAAAGTAATGACGTTTTTACGTGCTACGGGATAGGACACGGATGCAAAAGAAATTACTTTTCCTCAGCATTTCTTGACCCAGTACGCAGTTCAAAAGAAATCGGTAAAGGAAAGATCGATTACATTAGTATCGTGATCGACATGAAGGTGGCGCATTCTGAATGCAATTTCACTTTCCTTGCGGAATAATGGTCTGATCCTGGGACGGGACTTGACAATCGGGTAGCGATTTCGAGCCAATTTGCTGTCAAACCCGAGCCAGTTTCTGATTGGTCGATTTGACAGTAGCAATCGTGGAATAAAAAGAACAGAGGGATCGCATTAATTTGGCTGGCAGTGATGCCGGAATCAATAAGGCTGTTAATTGTTTATATTTTCGAAAGTAAAGTTGAAAAATTGAGTGCACTGCGTGTTTTAAGCGATGCATATTGTTGTTTGTTAGTGGTTGTTTTTATTGTGTTGAGCAAAAAGTGATGTACAAGCTGCTAAACTGCGGTAGAAACGCCGGATAAAATCCAAATTAAATTAGAAAAAAATATTTTACATTCCTGGCATCACTAGTCAACTCCGTCAAACACCATGCACAACTTTCCGAAGGGCATTCTCCAAAAACATTAAGAAGAGTGAGAAGATCGATTGTCAAGTCCCGTCCCGGGTCTGATCAATTATTCCGTTAGGTAATGTTGGCGTTTATTGCAAAACTGATGTTTTGGATGCATTTAAACAACATAAACACTAATAAGTGTTGATTTTACAATTTGACCACATCTCCCTATAATCTCAAAATTTAGCAAACTATAGCTGTCAAATTTTCTTTTGGGAAAAATCCTCAAAAATTACTTTTCCGTTTTATTTTCAGCTGCGTACCAGGCTTAAATGAGGAGGGGCACTTTTAACGAAAATGGGTGTTTTTATACCCATTAATATAGGTTTTTGCGAAACACCGTGTAAATCGAACGAGTGCGAGCAAGAGGGAAACAGATTAGTGGGAAAACAAACCGTGCATTCAACGATGTGTGCTAGATAGAGAAAGACGATTAAACGTCAAAAAGGTCTATATATTATTAACTATTACTATAGACTAGAGTCGGTGTATAATAAGTCACGCCAAGAGAAAAACAGTTGAACTCGCATCATGGTTTTCGAAAGATTCCCTTTCTTTTAACTTGGCAACAGAGGACTTCTGCATCAACTTCAAATGACTTCTAGCGAGGAAAAAAATTAACGGCTGTAGTAAATCATTATATCAGTGATTTTGTCGAATTATCTTAAAGAAAAATAGTAGAAATTGTCATTACTGATCATTACAAAACGTATCGCATGACAAATGTAATGCTCACTGCGTGTATATGATCATTTCTTCGATTATATTTTATATTTAATTGCAATACCTTTCGTGGACCTTTCATAACATCGTAATGCTTGTTTACTTTGCACGATAGGTAGCCGGTTTGACAGTTCAATAGGTAGACTTGGCTTCACTCTTGGCGTGACTCATTATACACCGACTCTACTATAGACGAGTGCACGGATGGATTTGAGTTCACCCACTCGGCAAAAAGTGACACAACACCCGCATAAGCGCGAACCATAAATTGACCTTACCTAAAATGGTTAAAATTGTTTATAATCCCTGCTAAACTTCAACTGAAATGGTTATGGAACTTTACATGAACGTTTAATGATAAAGTTTTAACCTTAAGTATTATAGTTTTTTGGAAGCGGACCTTACAAATAATGGGTTGTTAAGAACCATTACCATTCAAAATTCTTGTTTTCTCCATACATTTTCGGAAAGAAAACTATACTAAAACCTTTTAACTTATGGTTTGAGAACATTAATGGTAATGGTTATGGTAACCAGTAAGGTCCATGAATGGTTTTGTAACATCGATCAACTTTATGTGGAATATATCGCGAATTGGTTGCCTGTAAATTACTGATTACCAATTCACGATATATTTCACGTAAAGTTGAGTGATAATACAAAACCATTAATGGACCTTACTGACTACCATAACCATAACCATTAATGTTCTCAAACCATAAGTAAAAACGTTCTAATATAGTTCACTTTCCGAAAATGTATGGAGAAAATAAGAATTTGGAATGGTAATGGTTCTTAACAACCCATTATTTGTAAGGTCCGCTTCCAAAAAACCATAATACATAAGGTTAAAACTTTATCACACAAACGTTCATGTAAAGTTCCATAACCATTTCAGTTGAAGTTAAGCAGGGATTATAAACAATTTATAACCATTATCGGTAAGGTCATGTGATGGTTCGCGTTTATGCGGGCAGTGGGGCCCTGTTTACTAAAAATGAACACATGAATGGGTCTATCAACTTATGTACACAAAACTTGTTAAGCCTTTTTCGCGTGGACCGAATACGCTCACGCAAACTAACAACACCATCGGGCAGAGAAAATAATCCCCTTCTCGAAAGTGCTCTTGGTTTGCGTGGGCGTACTTCGGTTCTCATGAAAAGGACCTAGCAAATTATTTACAAAAGTTGATAGGCCCTTTTCAAATGTTACGCGAGCATTATTCATGTGTTCATTTTTAGTAAACAGGGCCGCGGTTGCGTCAATAATATTTCAGTAGATGAACAAAAGTTCACCCGTGTACAGGTCTATATAGTATAGTCGCTATATTCCGAGGGGGGCGACACATCTAAATCTCAATTTTAGATGCTCAATAAATCTCACACTAGCGAATAAATCTTTGAAAAATCTTCTTTCATTTCTATCTATTTGCTCGTGATGAACTGATGAACTCAGACAGTATGTATCAACGGTTTAGGATCGTTAGATATCATGCATTTGGCACACTGTAAGCATTGCTTTTATCTCTGCCAGTAGTCTCCAGGCCAGCTCCCAGGTTTCCTTGAAGATTGATAATCCTTGTAACCTGTGAACATGTTGAAGGGTCTATAATTCAAAATCATTGAGAAAATAGATTACACCTACAGTAAATATGATGCACATTGTACAGACCGAGGAACAGTTAAATCTGGGAAACGAATCCGGCAAAGGCCTCGGGCTTCGCATTTATTTTGGCAGTAGTTGATTGCTAAAGTTCAATCGGTGCGGCACTCGATCGTGGTATCTTGGGATAATATGAACGGTTCCAGGCCAAGTTTGGCCAGCAGATGGTGCGAACCAAGAAACGTTCATTTTGGGTCGTTTTGAGGTAATACTGTAAACAGCGAAAGTAGTAAGCATTTATAAAGGTTGTTTAAAAATATAAAAAAAAAACACTTACTGGATCGTCGAGTAGGGCCTATTTGATTTGATCCAACATTTCAAAACCATTCACGGAAATCTAAAACCGGAAGCCAATTTTAGGGACGGGCAGAATCTATGTTTGGGAAGTGGATTGATATGACACTACTGCTGCTGCTTCTGTTTTGTTTTGCATGTTTTATCTTAAAATTTAGCGGCAAAATTTCAGTGCTGCCAAAAGTGTTGGTGTTTAGAGGTATTTTTGACAGTAAACCAATTTTCATTTTAAAAAAATGCACTTTTAAAATTACGAGTCATAAATGAACAAAAAACTTTCAAACCAAAAAAATAGCTTTCGTTTTGAAAATATTCGTTGTTGAAACTATGAAGTTTGAGGAATTTTCAATTTGAAAGTGAATTATTTTTATAACAACAATTTTTGTTCTTTGTGTGCACCAATTCGGGATATCATCCCAATTTTATGTGGTATGAACGAACCATCTATGATATCGTTAGTGTGTGGTACCAGTTTATTAGGGACTGCCTAACATGATTGGTGCTCGTTTTCTAAAGGCGGCCCTAATAAAAAAAATAACCATAAACGAACGATAACCCAAATCATTGAACTATTCCACAAATGGTTTGGATGATACCCAGAACACGTCGTTAAGCAAATTAACCATACAATTTTTATTAGGGGGGCCAATCTAAAGTTTGGTATTCTACTATGAAATCTGTGAAAGGGAATCTAGTATCATGTAGACAAAACGTCCAATGTAACAGTCATTGATTATGTCATTGAGAAAAATTGTCCAATGTAACATGTCCGATATACAACTCGACTTGTCAAAACATCCTATGTGGTTTTTTCTATGTTGTAGCATGAAATTCAAAGTTAAATTGTGATTTTATCGTTTCTACTGAATTTTCAACGTTATTATTCACTGACTCCATTAAAAATAGTATTGCAAAATGTATTGTTTTTAAACAGTTAAAATGATAATCTGTCGAACTTCAACTCGGTTTTCTCAAAATGGTGGATATGTTACATTGGTCTATTTGAAAAGTGACGCGAGATTTCATTTATTTTGATTATGGATGAAAATCATCCCTAAAACGCTGTCCAGACTGGAGAGTTATAACATAGAGGTAACTCTAAGACCACTGGGTCCCGAAGAAAATCATTATTATTTTTGGCTCACTCAGTACCAGAACAACGGTCCCAAGCAGTCCCAAGCTATTTCACTCACCCCTGCATGTTCTGCATGAATCCACACACCCCTGATGTTATCTGTCAAACTTTCATAGCGAATCAAAACAAACATAGTGTAGTAATAGAATTTCAACTAGAATAGGGTACGTTAATCGTTTGCTTGGGACCAATAGGCTACTAAAGTGGTGAGCCAATTTAAAATCGTTAGTTTCGTATTGATTGTTGGTTATAACATGTTATAACGGTTTTCAAATAATTGCAACACAGAAACCACCATCAAGATAGCGCTATAACATGTTATAACTCTGTAGTCTGAACGTACTATAAAGCGCTGTCCAGACTGGAGAGTTATAACATGTTATAACGGTTGTCAAATAATTGCAACACAGAAACGACCATCAAGATACACAGCAAAAAAAAATGTAATATCGATCAATGTAATTCAAGCTGATGTATGAAATAATGATGTAATAGCAAAAAGCAGATACAATATTACATCAATGGATGTAATTTTGTTCGCAAAATCGATCTACATCGTACACCGTTATATTATACAACCGATGGATTGACGTGGTTGCAGCAGTTTGGATGTAATATTCAACAACTTTTTTTTCTGTGTAGCGCTATAACATGTTATAACTCTGTAGTCTGAACGTACTATAAAACGCTGTTCAGACTGGAGAGTTATAACATGTTATAACGGTTGTCAACTAATTGCAACACAGAAACCACCATCAAGATAGCGCTATAACATGTTATAACCACAAACGAAGTGACAGACGGAGCGGCTCGAAAACTTTGGTGACTACCCTAATAAAAAATAACCATAAACGAACGATAACCTAAATCATTGAACTATTCCACAAATGGTTGGGATGATACCCAGAACACGTCGTTAAGCAAATTAACCATACAATTTTTATTAGGGTAACCTGCTATTGCAATTTTTCAGTGTACCACATGGCAACACCACTACTACTGGATTGTACCACATGGCAACACTACTACTAGATTGAACTAGCATTTTCACCAAATGTACTAGAATGTTTTGGTTCTATCTCTTTCACTCTACTCAAAACTGAAATGCATAAAAAAATTACAAAATGATACGCACTCTTTGCACACTGTCAAAGAATCATTGTACACAAAATCAACTTTGTTCAAATCAAAACAAAAAAACTAACCCATCTGGTGGATTATGGCACAAGCTTCCAAGAAAATTCTATTACAGTGAACCACATTATTTAAATGGATTTCTTCGCCAGTTAGTCGTCTGTCACTTCGTTTGTGTTATAACTCTGTAGTCTGAACGTACTATAATAAAAGTTATCATAAACGATGATTGAAATCATTGAACCATTCTACAAATGGTTTGGATTATACCCAGAACACGTCGTTAAGCAAAATAACCATATATAACTATTGTTATAATTATTATTATAGCTATTTTAATACGGATGTGCGTTTCCAATGGAAGCTGCATGAAAACTATTTTCGGTGTATGAGTAGATTCTACTCAAATTTGGGTAGTTTAGAAATAGCATGCATGTTGTTCCATCCGAGTCGGTAAAATACACTAATCCCATTTTGCATCGCAGGCTAGCGTCAAAACTGATTTGAAGCGAGATCGCTATTCGGAACTGCTGTTGGCGCAAAAGAGATGGCGCAAGTCATTTTGCAGAATCCATCAACGAAAAATGTGCATGTGAATGTGTGAACAGTGTTCACGGCCGAAGTCTCGCATCTTCTCTCGTGCGTTCTCTTCTGCTGGTAGTTGATTGTGTGGATGTGTTTGCGCTCCTACGTGGTCAATTTACGTGTGCGAAGAAGAGTGTAATTTTGTCACTAGCTGTTCGATCGTCGCATCCGTTCCCGACGTTTTTTTTGTGTGTTCATTAATCCTAGCTTCCACGGTGGAGAACAAGTTGAAATATTACGTGTAGCCGGTGGTTTTAAGGACGTGGAAGAGCTAATCCAACTAGTTCAGGATTGCAGCCAGAGTACGGTAAAGCTTGATCCAGTTTTAGCCATCTTCATCGGTGCCCAGTAACCGTACCCGAAGGCGAGCAGAGGGAAAGAAAAAAGAAGAAAATGTAAGTGCCTGGTTCCCTTTCGGTCTGTGCGAGCATTTTTTCCATTTAGTTTTAAATTTTCGCTTCATGCGACACAGTGATTAATGGAAGCTAGCTGACCAGTCTCAATAATTGGAATAATAGATCATTTAAGCGAGTGAGTTTGACTGTAGTGCTATGGTTGATTCATGGAAGTTGGTGAGTTTCGAGAGCTGGATGTGCAGCATTTTCTGATGACGACGGATGGTAAAATTCTTTCGCCTATCCCGGAGAGAGAGACAGCAAGTCCGTACCGTGAAGCATGATGGCGGCCGTGTACGAATATTCGCCTTTCTCGTTCCACTGTGATGCGAAGATACTAAATGAAAATCCGCCGCAATCGAGAATGGCAGGAAAATACATGTATTATCAATGGCTCGTAAGTTTCGAACCGGAAAATCCCCGATTCAGTGTCTAATCCTATCAAGCAACGTTCGCAATGATCTTACTAGTTGCCAACCGAAGGGTGAGGTGGCGGAAAGGACATAGGGAGAAGCGAATGAACTCTCCTCGTCGTATACAGTCAGTCATCATGATAGTCGTCGTCGCAGCTCGAACATCGAAAATGTATGTGGAGTGGATAGTGGAATCGGGAAAAGCAGAGAAGAGAACCGTCGTCGTCATCAGATTTTTTTTTCCCTTAATGTTCGCGAGTTCAGTCGCATTGATGTCAGTGATGATCACCACTTGCACACTGGTGGAGTTCGGAACTTTGAAACTCAAGTGTGGAAAAACAGGTGTTTTTCATAGATTTACTTAGTTGTCTAATTATAGTTACTTAAAACGTAAATTTATCAAATATATAAAACCTCATTATATCAAACTTTGAATTTTAAAAATAACACATTCATCGCCATTAAATAATGTACAACCTGTACAGTACAGGTATTTGGTGCATTTTGTTTCATCGCACATGAATCACTCTGGTATTTGTGCAATTTATATAACTTGTACCGAGGCTATACTGCCCTGTGCGGCATAACAGTCCCATTAGCATTTTTGTCGAAAATGAGTTATACATTGGAATCGATTGTCAAGTACCATCACTTTACATGTACACGAAAAGTTTCCTACTTTGTTAAGAAAATGTTACGAAAAATACCAAAATTATGTTGTCGACCCATCCATAAGGAACCATAGAGGAAAACAAAATCTTCAACGGCGTTTTTCTCAGCTTATATTAACGAATGAAACAACCATACTAAAAAGGGAAGTATACTGGATTTACATAAGATGTCGTTGCTCTTGCCCAAGGAGCAATGATTTTTCCTTGTTTATAAAAAAAAAATAGAGTCCCGATTCTCCCGATTGCAGAGAATGGATCAATAAAAATGCTGAGGTTTTGACAGAACTGTGCTGTGGCTATCACAGTATTTTACATGTGATCATCCTTATACAGTAGCGCCAAAAGCATGCTGTGGTGGGTTCAAAACTTGACCATCTAAATTGATCAATTTAAACATCTTCCCATCGTGCGTGGACAATCATTCATACAATTTTTTTGACCATAGACTTTAATCTTGTATCAAGATCATCTTAGGTGGATGCGACCCGAATCTTGTCACTATTAACAAAGACTCAAACGTAACAAGATCTAAGACGTGTTCCTTTGATTACTGCAAAAATCTGTTAGGTACACTAGTTTGAAGAAGGTTGGATAAGAGTTCGATGGTAGATTCCTAGGAGGGAGACCCAGACTCGAAACATATAAACGTCAAAAGGAGCCAGACACAAGCTGTCAGGAACTGTCATTGGGAGCCAAGCAGTTTGACGATGCTTTTCTTACAATTGAACAAGAATACAGAAGGCGGTATTGAAATCTTGCGATAAGTAATTTCTGACAAACTGTCATTTCTAGCTATCTTATTCAAATAGGACACCGTTTTTTAGATTAATTCATTGAATATACCATATTTATACTTAAATCCATATTGAAACATACCATTAACCAAGGTTTTTGTCAAACTCTTTGGTGGCATGATAAAATACAAAACCGAAAAGTACATTTTCTCACACGGATAGAAATCTCCTTATACCTTTTGGCAAATTTCATATTCATAAAATGTATAAGTCAACTAATAAGCAGACGCCTTGCAAAAAATTAATGAAGATCATGCGTCAAATGAAATGTATAAGCGGTCCCACATACCTTTTTTGCATTATTATAGGACCTGTGTGGTTTGTCTTATGGAATGTATAAGGCTGATGTTTTGCAGGGTGTCTACTACCTGAAAAAAACCGGGAATTTACAGGGAATTTTATTTTTTCTGGAAAAACCTAGAATATTCAGGGAATTCTCCAATTATCACTTCATTCGTAATTCAAAAGAAGTCTTTCGTTCAGTTTCTCGAAACGTTTCTTAAGGGCACTGAACTGGACAAGCATCTGGCGAAAAATACTTGAAGATGGACAAAAAGAAACGAATGTGCTGGCGGAAAAAAATAATTCGTTACAATTTTGAATAATTTTGTTTTCTATTTGTTACCACTTTCTCTAAATTGATCGAATCAATAACAATAAAAACACATGTATCTCAGAGAAAATTTTGTTGACTGAGGAACTAATAAGAGATTTTAGAGATGTGAAACCATGATTTATTCTGTCTCGATCTTCCAAACAGAGTTGGACTCAAACATATTATCAAAATGATATATTGTTTTTGAAAGCATATTGTTATCAAATTTTGATATATCGTTTTATCGAAATAGTATATATGGGGTTTCCAAAACACAAGTTTCTTACTTGTATTTATATTCTTGAATTAAAAAAATACTACACACATGCCAAAAAAGAATGTAATATTGATCGACGTAATACATGCTACTGTATGAATAACTAATGTGATTGCTAAAACCAAATACAATATTGCACCCATGGATATAATTTCTTTTCGCAAATTATATGTAGGATAAATGCACCAATAGTGGAGGTACTTTAGTGCAATGTGTTCCTATGATGGCTTATAGAGCCTCCCTAAGCCGCCATCGAAGTACATTGCACTATCGTACCTCCACACAGCAAAAAAATAATTTTGATATCACATCAAAGTGGATGCACTACAATCATGTCGAAAATTTCATGTAATTTTTATGACCACATAAATAAACAAATGCAGTAAAATCAGCGTAATGTCAGTTCATGCATTGTATTAATGAAAATTTTGTCCTTTTTAGCAAGTAATATTACACCATATTTTCGACATGATTGTAGTGCATCCACTTTGACGTGATATCAAAATTATTTTTTTGCTGTGCACTATTGGTGCATTTACTAAACATAAATTGTACAAATTAATATTAAACAACCTAAACACTCAGTTTTTTTCTACCGAGCTCGGCTGTGCAAATCTCGGCAAAAAAAGTTTCACTGAGATCTCAGCAAAAGTGACGTTTGATTGCTGAGTCTCGGATAATGCTTAGCTGAATCTCAGCAAACAAATGAAATGTTTGCTGAGATCGCAGTGAAACTTTTTTTGCCGAGATTTGCACAGCCGAGCTCGGTAGAAAAAACTAAGTGTGTATGTGCATCTATTATGCTGTAATATTCAATAACTTTTTTGCTGTGTCGACTTATAAGTAACAACGCCCAAGTTTGAACAATCGAAAATAATATAAATCAATAAGTACATAAAAGGGATTCCAGATGGATAAATAGAAAAAAAATGTGTATAATTTGTATGCACCTGGAATTTTGTTCATCCGACCTGGAAAAACCTGAAAAACTCAGGGAATTTGATTCCTTGGATTGAGTACACACCTAATCTAGCTCGGTAAAATCTCCAACAGTCGATTACCTCGGCATTTACTTTTGCTGATATCTCTGCAAAATATCTGTTTGTTAGCTGATATCAACATGATAGCAACATGTTATTTGTTAGCTGAGTCTCGGCAATTGTTTAACTGAATCTCAGCAAAATAAATTGCAGAACTACTCGGCTGTTGGAATCTCGGCGAAAAAATTTAAGTGTGTAGACACCCTGTTTTGGCAAAAATGTATAAGTGAAACACATGGATAAAATAATTGATTTTCGTTTCGTGCATAGCACACTGAACAACGTCAAACAACAACGCTCAAAGTAAAACAGGCAATATTGATACGCCTATTTTGATTTGATTTCAATAGCTCAAATTTCCATGACATGAAGAAAAGCTATAAAATCTCGCGTCACTTTTCAAATAGACCAATGTAACAAATGTAAACAAATCGAGTTAAGCGATACAAACTATTGCTCTTCTATCATTGTATGTGATACAAAAACATCCATCCATACTTTCATTTATTTGAAATGATGGGTACATGATAGATCAAAACGTCCAATGTAACATTTATTGATTATGTCAGTGAGAAAAATCGTCTAATGTAACATGTCCGATGTACAATGCGACTTGTCAAAACGTCCTATGTGGTTTTTTCTATGTTGTAGCATGAAATTCAAAGTTAAATTGTGATTTTATCGTTTCTACTGAATTTTCAACGTTATTATTCACTGACTCCATTAAAAATAGTATTGCAAAATGTATTGTTTCTAAACAGTTTAAATAATAATCTGTCGAACTTCAACTTCGATTTTCTCAAAATGGTGGATATGTTACATTGGTCTATTTGAAAAGTGACGCGAGAAATGCACGTGCTATCCAGGATGCTGGCAACCCCATATCAATCCTATACGTTTGACAGTAGGCAACATCACGGGCCTTATTTAAATACGGCCCACCTGACGTATCCATGGTGGAAAGGGACGGAGCAGATGATAGCATCAAAAACATGGCCACCAGGCCTGCCCCTGGAGCCGAGCCTGGTGCTATCTGTGTCTCCCTCCCAGGTAGATCCTAAACCGTAATGCATCACTTAGAGGCTACATATCTACCCACATTTAGGGATAACAATTGGTGTTACAGATGCAAATTGAACGACCCCAAATTTACTAAAGACACATGATTTGATCCTAGCGAAACATTCTTTTTTTTTTTTTTTTTTTTTCG